GGTGAGGAGATAGGGCTTGTCGGAGTGAGGGTAGTAATCGACGTGGTTGACACCCTTGGTCTCATGTGCCTCTAGGGTGAAGTTGGGAGTAGAGGATCCGAGACTCCAGATCTTGACAGTTCGATCGAGACAAGCTGAGGCAAAGGTGTTTGTGTCCTTGGGGTTGATGGCCAAACCCATGACATAGTGACCATGGCCCTCAAAGACCTGCACACACTTCCAACCCTTCTCCCAATCCCAAAGCTTGATGGTCATGTCATCGGAGGCAGTCAAGACGAACGGCTGTGTGGGGTGAACGGCGATAGCTCGAATGTAGTCGGGGTGGGCCTCGAAGGAGGTGATCTTTTCGGAGGTGTTGTAATTGTAGACTCGTAGTTGGAAATCATCGGAACCGCAGACAATCCAGTTTTTCCTGGCGATGAATCGACCGGCGCGAACGGGGACATCGGTGAGCTCAAAGGTCTTGACGATCTGTTGAGTTTCGTGGGACCAGATGTAGACGTGGCCTATACTGTCAGCATTGGATCTCGAGCTGGCAAGCTGGACATACCGCTGTAGAGGGTTGTGAGAATCCATGGCTCGTGAGGATGGAAGTCAATGCCCTTGACTCGCTCACTGCGAGCGTAGAGCTGGCGCTGTATTGCGAAACGTGTCAGCTCAGATCGCACAAGTAAAGCTGCCGCCGCAGATATCGAGTGCGCCCGCTGTGAATAGCACTACGCTGATCGTCGGGCGCACTCAACAGATCCCCAGACTGACCTTGACGTCTAACTTCATCTTGTCGTGTGTCGTCGCTGTCGCGTTGCGCAGTTGAAGTTGCAAGCTGTCCAGCAAGGGCGGTGATATCGAGGTAGTGGGGTCGAAGTTAAGAATCCCTGAAGGAGACTACCATGCGGGATGACAGGTGGTCGCAAGTGCACAGAGATTGGGGGAGAGGCAGAAAAAAAATAGAGGGTCAAACGCTAATCATCAATCGTGATGTTTGAATTGACAAAGCTTGAGCTTGTGTATATTGATTTGGAGCTCCCCGAAATGTGTCCTGCGGCTCTTGACAGGCTGGCCATGGATGTGGTGTTGGCCTGAAGTGTCAGGCTCCACCTCCTTATCCCTTCTTATCAGGGATACTCCAGAATAGGGGGTTGTAGGGTAGGTGAGAACTCGTCAAGAACCCCATGAGATATCATGGTATTAGGCATTGGTGTTTGAAGATGAATTGAGTTGGCTGTACATATCTCTTTTTAACCTTTTCTCCTTAATTAGTTTCTGTGGTTAAGTTGTTTGAGTTGTTTGAGTGAGGTCAATTGTTGGTTCACTTTTTTAAATCGTTTACATTAACAGTATCATTTGCAAGTCCTCAGTCGGAATTAATTACATGGCCATGTGAAGATGAGATTTGACAGTCCTTGGACAGCTTCTGCCACATTCAGATGTTCCAAAAATATTCTGATCTGTTTATAGACCCTCCACAACTCAGCCAAGATATCTCGACACGCGTCGTCTTCGTACATGATGAATAGTGTGGCTGTACAACAAGTTGGTTGCTTCACATCAAGCTATCAACACTATAGACACTGTACACCAAGTGACACTCTGGCTGCTGGCTGCTTGGGCATTAATGGTATTGTTTATGAACTAGTCTCGCTTCTCCTTCTCATTTACCCCTTATGTTATGGATTATTTGGCTGGACCTCGCTCTAGGCTCATTCTCTAGCTGATCAACAAAGCTAGAGCCCGTGGCTGTGGCTTAAAATCGACCTTAAGGGATTACTCCAGACCATCTCCACAGTCTGAGCTCCTGTGTCGCAGACTGAGACACTGTGTTTCCAGCACCAGAACAGCACCACCATCGACCCTAGCCCACAGTGCGGGCTGCCCACGGGAAGATCCACCTTTTCTGCTGTCGCCCAATGGGCCTTGGATGTCATGGTAATCCCCTTCTCCCATCCATCCCCCGTATCCACCTCATTCATATCTCGGCTGGTCTTGTCTCGGGCTCTTGTGCTTCGCCTCCTCCTCATATTCAGCCTCTACCATCTTTGTTCAATTTGCACCTCCTTTCCCTTCAAACCAGTCGGCGCATAGTCTCCTTTCGTCTCGTCGACTTGCGATCCTTGATACAACCAAACAGCGGCCGGTTTACGCTTCCACGCATGCGGGGTTACAAATCATCCATTTGTTGAACACTCTGCCACGCCATCAGCCTCCTGCTTGATCAGGAGTTTGTCAGCGCGCAGTGAACGCTCGCTGCTTGACCCTTCGATCCTGCAACACTTGTTGGCTGTCGATCCTTGACCTCAACCATCAAATACCTCGTTGAAATCAACAACAATGTCTTGGAAGCTTACCAAGAGTACGTCTACATGCCCGATATCTGTCGCACCACTAACATCCATCAGAGTTAAAGGAAACCCATCTGGGTCAATCCTTGAGCCCCTTCTCTCGATCCCCCTCTACTTCAACCATCACCGAAAAGGAAAAGGATGGCCAGGCCAGCGGCGCTGTTACGCCTACAACGGAAAATGCCATAGGTGAGCAAATTGGACTGGAGTACCGTCAGTATCTGACTTGAACAGCTGCCTCTGAGGCCATGACACAGGCCCCTGTTGTCAAGCCCCCCAAGCCCGGCATTCTCGTTGTCACCCTCCACGAAGGTCAAGGATTTTCTCTTCCTGAGCAGCACCGAAGTGCTTTTGCCTCGTCACACCAAGGATCGATGTCTTCGTCCAACGCTCTTGGAATGTCTGGCTCTGTTCGACCAGGATCCTCACAACGTGTAGCCGGATCATTTGTTAACGGCAGTAACCGACCGCACTCTTCCGCTGGCGGCTTCAACGGCATCCCCACCAACCACGGCCGAATTTCTGGAAAGTACATGCCATACGCCCTCCTCGACTTCGACAAGGTCCAGGTCTTTGTCAACTCGGTCGATGGAAATCCTGAGAACCCTCTGTGGGCCGGTGGAAACACCCAGTACAAGTTTGATGTGTCAAGAGTGACAGAGCTCGTCATCCACTTGTATATGCGCAACCCGAATGCGCCACCCGGATCTGGACGAAGCCAGGATATTTTCCTCGGTGTTGTCCGCATCAACCCCCGATTCGAAGAGAGACAGCAATACGTGGAGGACCCCAAGGCCAGCAAGAAGGACCGCGAGAAGGCTGCTGCTGAGCACGCAGCGCGCAATGGTCACCAAGGCGCTGAGTGGGTCGACGTGCAATATGGAACTGGTAGAATCAAGGTCGGTGTCGAGTATGTCGAGACTCGAGCAGGTAAGCTCAAGATTGAGGATTTTGAACTACTCAAGGTCGTCGGCAAGGGCAGTTTCGGCAAGGTCATGCAGGTACGCAAGAAGGACACAAACCGAATCTACGCTCTCAAGACAATCCGAAAGGCGCACATCATCTCGCGATCCGAAGTCGCCCATACACTCGCCGAGCGATCTGTGCTGGCACAGATCAACAACCCTTTTATCGTACCTCTCAAGTTCAGTTTCCAATCTCCGGAGAAGCTTTACTTTGTTCTCGCCTTTGTCAACGGAGGCGAGTTGTTCCATCACTTGCAAAAGGAGCACCGATTTGACGTCAACCGATCCCGCTTTTACACTGCTGAGCTTCTGTGCGCCTTGGAATGTCTGCACGGCTTCAGCGTCATTTACAGAGATCTCAAGCCCGAGAACATTCTTCTGGATTACCAGGGTCATATCGCTCTTTGCGACTTTGGTCTCTGCAAGCTTGATATGAAGGATGAGGACCGCACCAACACATTCTGTGGTACACCCGAGTACCTCGCTCCAGAGCTGTTGATGGGTCAAGGTTACAACAAGACAGTCGATTGGTGGACTCTTGGTGTTTTGCTGTACGAGATGTTGACAGGTCTGCCACCTTTCTACGATGAGAACACCAACGAGATGTACCGCAAGATTCTATCAGAGCCTCTTCACTTCTCTGACGTAGTTCCCCCAGCTGCCAAGGATCTCCTCACCAAGCTTTTGAACCGCAACCCTGAGGAGCGACTTGGTGCTAATGGATCAGCTGAGATTAAGGCGCATCCTTTCTTCCATGCTATTGACTGGAGGAAGCTTCTACAGCGCAAGTACGAGCCTACATTCAAGCCCAGTGTGGTATGTGCCCCTCATTCGAATCGAGATTGAATCCTACTGACATTTTTAGGCCGACGCTCTGGATACTGCCAACTTTGACCCCGAATTTACATCCGAAGCCCCTCAAGATTCTTATGTCGAGGGCCCCATGCTCTCTCAAACTATGCAGAACCAGTTCCAAGGATTCAGCTACAACCGTCCGATCGCTGGACTCGGAGATGCAGGCGGCAGTGTCAAGGATCCATCATTTGTCGGTAGTTTGACAGATAACCGATAAGTCGCTGAGGCAGAGAGACAACGGGTAGACAGCGAGCAGGACTGGCTGACTCGGACATGGTATCAGTCTTGTCGATGAGCCGGCTGAGGAGGGGAACACGTGTAAGCCATGATAAGGACAACCTATGAGGTGGAAACCTAGAGGATGAATGTAGATAAGAAGCCTTTATTTGCTCTGGCGTGTTGGAGTTTGATACACTCGTTAGTTCTGTGGATATGTCATTCTGTCAATGTAGATTGTCTTGCGTGACTTTATCGATGAATCTGTGACTTACTGTTTATTTTCTTCATTTGTGACAATGAGTATTGTTTTATCATTGTTTTTGAGGCCAGTCTCGACTATAAGACCTCGCGCTTTGGTATTCACTGCACTTTCTCATTGTCTTCTGGCCTCAACACGGACTTGCATTCGCAACTGACCTGGAGAAGCCATTGCATCTTATAGCATAACCTCTTAAGCAAGGATTGAGTCAATTTCATATTCAAGCTCCAACGGCGTCAGTCAACGCTATTCGGTATTATGACTCTAATGGCCTTTCCAACGACATTTGCCACAACACCATCACCAACCAACAACAATCATCAACAAACAAACGAACATGAAGGGCAAAAAGCAAAAGAGCAATGCTCACTGCAGGGTTCGAACCTGCGCACATTAAATGTAGCAGAATCCTCAGCAGTTGAGAGCTTAAGTCTGCCGCCTTAACCACTCGGCCAAGTGAGCTATTGAGAAAGACGTGATTTTCCGAGCCGTAGCAGGGCTCAAGTCCGACTTCACGACTCGAAGATCACGCACTGAGGTGAGCTGTTTTGGGGCTCCATGAGGCTTTTTCGGAACACGTTGGGGGTCTTTATGATGGATGAGGGATATCATGACAACCCATGCTGGAAGAGTCTAGGCTATAGGCTGAATGAAGTGGAAAAGTTTTAATTGAGGCTGAGATCGGAGAGATCGCCGGTGTTGGGGCAAAGGTGAGAGTCAGCTCGGTGAGGACATCGAGAAATTTTACTACGTTGCTAGTCAATATATTATTCAGTTTGCAGTAGATCCCAGTCTGATTGCAATAAATTGCCTCTCCTAAGCTCTACAGCCTCCAGTTATATACATGATCCAACAGAGCTAGGATATACTGGGAAACTGATAGAGACATCTCACGATAAATAAGCTGTCCTCGGTGTCTCAGCCGGAGGTGATGCGGGCCAACCACGGCGAGTGCGCGGCATAACCGGAGCCCCTTGACTGACTGACTGTAGAGCCTCTGAGCCTCCACTGGGGTTATGACGCATGCAGGATAAAAGGAACAGGAGGCTAATATGATTATGGAGACATGACGAAAAGATTTGGAAAAGTTCAGTCAGCCAACCTTGATGATTTGTAAATTTGGTAACAATTGTTAAGTAAGGCGGGGCATTAAGTTATAAGCTGTTGAAGAGCTCTTGTTTTTAGTTTAGAGAGCATGGTGTAGCGTCATGCTGTCATTGGAGGGGTTAGCTGACATCTGTGAGAAAGATACAACAATTGAGAGACAATGGTAAAATGAGTGATAAAAAGATGTCATATCATTGACCTCAAGGAGTTTGAAGTGGTATCATGATAGTATTAATTAAATAGACTGTCCCTATAGAACAAGAAAGAATTGATCATGGTTGAAGTGGGATGATGAATGAATGCCCCCACTCCGCCCATGCCGCTCTCTGCTCTTCCCCTCCCCCTCCATTGACATTGGATCCATCGGAGCTCTACCTTGCCATGAGACGCACCCAAGACAATTCAGAGACATAACCTCATTTCCCCTCCCACTCATTTCCTGATTTGATATTTCTTCCCTTCTTTCCATCACCTCCATTCCTATCTCCCCATCATTATATCTATACAACATCAATATGGCCCCCGCAAACACTCTCCCCGCTTGGTCTGACCTCCAGGCCCATCGCGACAGCGTCGGCAAGTCCTTCGTCCTCAAGGAGGCATTCGCTTCCGACCCCCAGCGATTCGACCGCTTCACCCGAACCTTCACCTCCGACGGCGTGTCCTCCGAGATCCTCTTCGACTTCTCCAAGAACTTCCTCACAGATGAGACCCTCGATCTCCTGGTCAAGCTCGCCGAGCAGGCTGGCGTTGAGAAGAAGCGCGATGCCATGTTTGCCGGCGAAAAGATCAACTTCACCGAGGGTCGCGCTGTGTACCACACTGCTCTGCGAAATGTCGGCGGCTGGGATATGAAGGTTGACGGTGTTGATGTCATGAATACAAAGGGTGGTGTCAATGAGGTTCTTGAGCACATGAAGGAGTTTTCTGAGCAGGTTCGAAGTGGAGAGTGGAAGGGATACACTGGCAAGAAGCTCACAACCATCATCAACATTGGTATTGGTGGTTCTGATCTGTAAGACGCTCGATTGCTCGTATTGTTCTGGACTGACACCTTGCAGCGGCCCTGTCATGGTCACCGAAGCTCTCAAGCACTACGGCGCCGAAGACATGACCCTTCACTTCGTCTCCAACATTGATGGAACTCACATCGCCGAGGCCCTCAAGAACTCTGACCCCGAGACCACCCTCTTCCTCATCGCTTCCAAGACCTTCACCACCGCAGAGACCACCACCAACGCCAACACAGCCAAGAAGTGGTTCCTCGAAAAGACCGACAACAAGGGCGACATCGCCAAGCACTTTGTTGCTCTCTCCACCAACGAGGAGGAGGTCACCAAGTTCGGTATCGACAGCAAGAACATGTTTGGCTTTGAGAGCTGGGTTGGTGGCCGATACTCTGTCTGGAGTGCCATTGGCCTGAGCATTGCTCTCTACGTTGGCTTTGACAACTTCCACAAGTTCCTTAGCGGTGCTCATGCCATGGATAAGCACTTCCGCGAGACTCCCCTCAAGGACAACATTCCTCTTCTTGGTGGTCTGTTGAGTGTCTGGTACTCTGACTTTTTCCAAGCTCAGACTCACCTTGTCGCTCCGTAAGTCAGCCAGAATATGCGAGTATGTAGACTAACAATTATAGCTTCGACCAATACCTCCACCGATTCCCTGCCTACCTCCAGCAGCTCTCCATGGAGTCCAACGGAAAGACCATCACCTCTGATGGATCGTCTGCCAAGTACACCACTGGTAAGTGGATAACCTCCTGCATGAAACCCAGCTAACGTCCCAGGCCCCATTCTCTTCGGCGAGCCCTGCACCAACGCTCAGCACTCCTTCTTCCAGCTCGTCCACCAGGGCACCAAGCTGATCCCCACCGACTTCATCCTCGCCGCCAAGTCTCACAACCCTGTCAGCGACAATCTCCACCAGAAGATGCTCGCGTCCAACTACTTCGCCCAGGCTGAGGCTCTCATGGTCGGCAAGACAGACGATCAGGTCCGTGCCGAGGGTACTCCCGAGGAGCTTGTTCCTCACAAGCGCTTCCTTGGAAACCGACCCACGACCTCCATCCTTGTCGGCGGCGCCATTGGTCCCGCCGAGCTGGGTGCCCTGATCGTGTACTACGAGCACCTCACCTTTACCGAGGGTGCCATCTGGGACATCAACAGCTTTGACCAGTGGGGTGTTGAGCTGGGCAAGGTCCTGGCCAAGAAGATTCTCAAGGAGCTTGATGAGGCGGGCAATGGTGAGGGACACGATGCTTCTACTGGTGGACTGATTGGGGCGTTCAAGAAGTATGGTAACTAAAAAGGAGGATTGAGTGTTAATGGGTAGCGAGTGGAACGATGTTGATAATGATTAAAGATAGCATGAATAAGTTTGACGGCCTATGCTCTGGACTGTGTCTGATATCCGTGCATGCGTATGAAGTCTCTGTACATGTTGAGACGCAAAGGTACTCGTAAGTATGAGGAAGAGAGTTATGTAGCATTGATCGCTGTGTATCGTGATTATCTGCCTACCTTTTTCAGATTTCCTTGTTATTCTCAGATGTCGATTGCATTGCAACGTCAAACACGGCACAAGAAGACGGCACAAGTATACCATGCACCTGCGCGATTTCTCACATTTGCATATCAAATAGCAACACCTTATCAGTTGGATTTACACTAATGACACGTGGAACAAGGCACCTCGGTCAAATGAGTGTTTACATATGTTTGTATCGAGGTTCCGTGTCTCCGGCAGATGTGTGCATTTCCGCTTTGGGTAGTGTCACTGCTTGAGCAAATGCGTCTGCGTAGATCGGTCCATTCAAAGAGCATCGAGGCACTGCCACTTTTTGAGAGCATTGATACCGTTAGAGTCCAGGTGCATTGAGAATGCTGCGCTTAGGAACATTGGCCCGTTTGAGCGTCAATGGTGAGACGAGCAGGTGAGGTTGAAGCATGTGGAGTTTTGCGGGGGAATATGGGGAAGAGGGGGGGATTGCTGCTCTGATGGTGTAGACGGTGGTATGTTTGTGAGATATATCACGCAGAGACTTATCACATCGGGGTTATAACGGTGCTTTTTATCGCGGGGGAATCCCCAGACCTGAAGTGCAGGAGTGAGATGGAGGGCGGGGAAATGGAGATTAGGGGGTTGTGTGTTGGTTGAAGCGAGAGTGAGTGCTTGGGTCTGGATGTTCAAGGTGCTGTGATGTTTGATGTTGACGTTGGCTTATCACGATATTAACTGTGCACGGGAGTTAATTCGGCTCATGTCGGGAACAACATGTTTATCTTCTGAGTCTGGGTTACAAAGCGACGATCTCTTGAAACAAGAACAAAAGATCGTCATCGAAGTCACGGCATCCGCGAGGTTTGCATGCATGCAGTCAAGGTGATTCCATCTGAATAAGCCGCAGTCAAAGCGAACTGCATCCAAACATCTCTACCAATCAACATCACGAACCAAAACTGCGAAGTCCGTTCTGATTTCGTCAGTCCCAACTCCACTCACACTAGCCCTCCCCCAATGCAATACAACAAGACACGGAAGAATTTTTGTGCAGGACATTGTCATTGGTGAGTGTGAGTGGGTAACTCCTCTGACGTCGAAACTTGAGGCTTTTCACGATGTTCTCGTTCCCGCGTCGATGACGAGATGTTTGAGTGGTTCACCTGCAATTTTTTTCTTGGTTGGAGATATGCTATGCTACATCGGTGAGGGATGGTGGCTTGGACCCCTACTATAGACCCTTGAGATGAGAGATAGTAACAAACGGTTCAACACCTCCAACTGAGCATGAAGTTGAAGATAGAGACGAGGATGATGGGCTTGGAATTGAGTTCCGAAATCTGTTGAGTCGTATAGACAATAAGATTCAGCCTGAAGAGATACAGTTTCCCTTTCCCAGATCAACAGGTCCCGCGGTAACCGACCGAAGATAACTGAAGGCATCGCCAATCAGAATACGGCGCTAAACAATGAGAGAAACGCCTGAACGGTGCATCTTGGCTCTGCTGCTCCACTGACGGTTGATTCGCTACAGCGTTATCTACGGAGGGAGGCTATGCTAGAACGGACGGAAGCGGGTTCGTCGGGGTTGAGGGCCGAACGGAAAAGGGTCACGACTTGATCCGAAATGCCTCAAGCCCAGACAAATGCACTCAGATGGAATACGCCCTTAGAGTTGAGCCAGTTTGAGGTTTTGAGGGAATTATGCTTGAATAGTGGCATGGTTCGGTGATTCTACGGTAGAGTAGAGGAATACGGTGGCAGAAATGATCCGTTTGACCCCTGGAAGAACAGGAACCAGACCAGAGGCTCAAGGGAGGGGGAGGGGGTAACCCTGGATGTAGGATATGACG